ATCTTGCTTATATAATTTCCCATAAAAATCTCGAATAATTTCCTTCTTCTCTTTGTTGCCATGGCGAACTTGGCCTTGATCATCTATTAACTGCAATATTTTCCTTGATTCTTTCTCTTTTCTCAATTTATATGCTAACCATCTACCTGGTTTGTTTGCATCTTCAAAATAGTTCTGTTTAGCACCTCTAATTTTCTGTGCTAATTCTTCTTTCTCTATTTGACCCATTTTGTGTTTGATTATATCCATTTTCAGCTTGATGTCCTTTTTCTGTGGCGTTTTCTGTAGCTCTTTTTCAAGTCTTTTATGCTCATCTTCTAGAACCTTAGTGGCTTGCCTTTTTCTAATATTCCTTTTCCTTGTATAATCTATTATCAAGCCTCTAGCGTATGCCTTCATTGTGTCCCATACTTTCTGAATTGATGTATCTTCTTTTTTATTTTCTTTAAAGAAAAAGGCCAATTCTTTCTCCATCCGCTGTGTAAAGTCTTTTTCCTTTAAAATAGTATTATTTAACGTCCATCTCAATCTTCTTTTTTGTCCTTTCCATTTGATTGTCATTGGATTGTGGTCTTCCCAAGTGCTTGTTTCAATATTTGCTTCTTGAATATTAGATATTAATTCTGTTGACATCCATATCATATCTATTCTGGACCATGATAAATGTCTATTAGAGTAAAAGGTGTATTGTTTGGTTTTAGCATTTCTTTCTCTCCATATATCTTTTAAGTTTATTTCATCTACCATTTTAAAGAAAGATTTAGGGAGAGTCTTTCTGTTTTGCTTTGTTGTTGTTGCTGTATAGTCCAGTTTATTGTCTACAATTCCATTATAATCTCCCATCATAACTATATTAGCATAGTCCAGTTCAATTATTTTCATGTGTAATTTTTTATAAAATTCTTCTTGTTTATCATTCGGAGCATAAATTGCAATCAGGAGTGTTTTCATATTATTGTCCATTATTTCCACCATTAATACTCTTCCATCTTCATCGGTATAAATCAGTTTTGCTGGGGTGGTGTCTTTAATATATAAAACCACTCCTCTTTTCTTACATTGGGTCAAGGAAGTAAATATTTTCCCTAATTTTGGCTGTACCAACAGTTGTTCATATTGTTTTTTAATATGTACTTCTTGTAGACAAATTATATCAAATTTTAATTTCTCTAATTTATGAAAAGTTTTCCTTCTTTTAACAGCTGAGTTAAGTCCATTTATATTAATTGTGATCAATTTTTTTCTTCCATGATTATATTTTATAGTTGGGTTTGGCAGCTCTCATAGATCTTGGTTCACGTTGTTCTTTGGTTTCCACCTGTCCACCTACTGCGCCTTCTTCTTTTTGAGTCCCCATTTGGTCCTCTTGGAATTCAATTAGTGAGATCTCTTTTTCTGCCTCTTCCTCTTTCCTTCCAAAGAATTCTGAGTAAAATAATTCTGCTTTCTCAATTGAATCAATTCTATGTCTCTGTTCTTGTCATGTGAACATTAACCCTTCTGGGATCAGCCATCTATAATTCACCTCTTTTTTCAGTAACATTTTAGTCAGGAATCGATATTCTCTTCTCATCTCTCTCACTCTTCTGGGTATTTGTTTTAAGACCACAATCTCCTTGCCTTTGTATTTCAACATTTTCTCTCTTGCCACTTGTAATATTTGCGTTTTAATGGCTTTTTTTGTAAATCTGATATGAACTTCTCTTGGTAAGTTACTTCTCATCGCATATCTTGTAAAAACTTGGTATACCTCATGTACTCCATCCATCATCTTCTCTTCAGTTATTTCCAAAGCTTCAGCCAATATTTCTATCATTATCTCAGCTAGATTTTGTCCTTTTTCTTCCTCTATGTTTTGAAATCTGAGATAAAATTCTGATCATTGAACATTGAACAAAGAACAGAGAACATCGAACAAAGAACAGGGAAAACTGATGAAAAAGTGGAGAATATTCAACAAATGATGGCAAAGTATGATGAGAGATTCCAAAAAATTGAAGAAGAAGATAAACAAAGAGACAAGAAGATTGGAGACATTGATAGTAGATTAACGGTGGTTGAACAAGATAAAAGTGGGATGCTGAAATGGGAGATGATCTGTAAGTTTCTATTGTTTCTGTGCTGACTGCATTCCTGCAGTTTTGTTATGGCAGCTAAGTATTCACCTGTTAAATAGTTCTTGGCTGTCTGCCTGGGCTGGAGCTGTTAACTGAAGGAAGAGAGAAGGGGAAAAAAATTTCTTGTACTTTAAGCCTGAGTTCATTTTCCACAATATTATACCAGCCAAATGGTTGCCTGGCCAAAGTGAGAATGGAGATATTTAAACTATTTAAAACAGGATCCCCAACACTAGTACAAAAGGAATTGAGGCAAAAACATTAATCATCTTAGTTGCTCTTCTTTGCACTTTTTTTTCCAAGTCTCAACATCTTTTTTGTAATGTGGTGACTAAAACTGGATGTAGTATTCCAGGTGTGGCATTACTAAGACTTTATAAAGTGGTATTAATACTTCACGTGATTTTGATTCTGTTTATACAACCAAGGATTGTATTAGCTTTTTTGACTACTGCTGCACACTGCTAGTTCATGTTTAAGTGGTCATCCACTGGGACTCCAAGATCCCACTCACAGTTACTGTTTTTGAGTCAGGTTTTGCCTACTCTGTACTTGTGCCTTTGGTTTTTCTTGCTTAGGGGTAAAACCTTGTTTTTCTCGACATTAAATTTCATGTTGTTGGATAGGGCCCATTGTTCAAATCTGTCAAGATCTTTTTAGATTCTGAGCTTGTCTTCTGGGGTGTTGGCTCTTCCTGCCAGCTTAGTGTCATCTGCAAATTTGATGAGTTCCCCTTTTATTTCCTCATCTAAGTCATTTATGAAGATATTAAAGAGTACTGGCCTAAGACATAACTACCCCACTGCTTACTACCCCCCATGTAGATGTAGATGTAGCCCATGGATCCGATACATCACATGCCCACTTTGGGTCTGCAAAGGAAAAAAAGTAACAATACGTCATAATACATAACATGACACGATCGAGTTTGACACTCATGATGTAGTATCATTAAGAACTACTTGTTGACTACGGTTTGTCAGCCAGTTACAAATCCATCTAGTGGTGATAGTGTCTATCCCACACTTTTCCAGTTTACCAAGAAGTAGGTTGTGGTCTCCTTAGTTCTTAGTTTTTTCTTAGATCTAATTTATGAGGTTGATGGCAGTGGCTTATAATATTGCTTTTATAATTATCAACATAAACACACACACACATACACACACACACACCCCTTTATAGATCCTTTGTTTGCCCTTCCCAAGCATCTTCTTAAAATCTGCCGGAGCTTAAGGAGTTGCAAGGCCTTCCACAGCTAAAAGTTCTTTGAATAATATGGCATAATAATAGCCCCCTTTTGATGGCTTCTTTAATGTTTGAAAAGCTTTTTGTTTGGTTTCCACTAAAACACATTAATATTAAATATATTAATAGGAGGGGAGAGATCCAGTCCTCACCCACTGCTTTACGGGGTTCCACAGGGCTCGGTACTCTCTCCGCTCCTGTTCAACATTTATATGAAGCCGCTGGGTAAGATAATCTGTCACCATGGAATGAGGTATCACCAATATGCTGATAATACTCAGCTGTATGTCTCAGCCCATGTGAGTTAAGTGATGCTGTGTCCTCCCTCTCACAGTGCCTGGAGATTGTTAGGGGCTGGATGGGAAGCAACGGGTTGAAACTAAACCCTTGCAAGACTGAATGGTTCTGAGTTTGGGGTTTGTTGCCTCAGAGAGAATTCCCACCTTTAGTCTTGGATGGGGTGGCACTTTTCCAAATAGACCCTAGGGGTTTTCCTGGACTCATAACTCCTGCTCAAAGAGCAGGTAGTGGTCGTGGCCAGGAGGGCCTTTGCGCAACTGCGGGTTGTGCACCAGTTATGCCCTTTACTGGGACAATGGTCCCTACTCACAGACATTTATGCCCTAGTCACTTCCCATCTTGATTATTGCAATGCGCTCTACTTGGGGCTGCCCTTGAAGAGCATTCGGAAGCTCCAGTTGGTGCAAAACGCAGTGGCCCATATGGTTTTCTGCAGACCCCAGTGTGCATAAGTATCACCTCTCCTGCGGGAGCTGCATTGATTCTGCTCCTGGGTGCAGTTTGCTTCTGGGTACAATTCAAGGTGCTGGCTGTCACTTTTAAAACCCTTCATGGCTTGGAACAGGTTATTTGAGGGACCGTCTCTTGCTGGTCACATCTACCCAACCCATCAGAGTGGGGAGGCAGAGAATGTTATGAGTCCCATCCCTGAGGGGGATAGACCTGGTGGGACCCAGAAGAAGGGCCTTCTCCATGGCGGCTCCCTCTCTGTGGAACATCGTTTCCCCAGAGATTAGAACAACTCCCATTCTAATATTCTTCAAGAAGGCACTGAAGACCTGGTTCTGCCAGTGGGCCTGGGGAACCCAGAGCAGGATGGAGCCCATTAAATGGCTCATGTGATCTTCCCTGAGGCCCAGGAGGCCCAAAGATGGAACATGGGGGGGGTGCGCCCCTCCAGTCTCCATTTTTTGCCTTCTGGGAGCAAAAACACCGTCCCCAGGAGGCTTCCCTGAGGCTCAGGAGGAAAAAAATGGGAGGTTACAAAAAAAGTCATGCCCACATAGCCATGCCTACCTAGCCACACCCACAGAACTAGTTGTTTAAAAATTTGAATCCCACCCCTGATTCTAATCCTAATTTGCAGAAACCATAGGGTTTTATGGTTTCAATAAAGGAGAATATTTGTAGCTCAGGGTTGAAATGAGGAGTTCTTGATGCTCTCTGAGCTTGGTTGTTTTCTTGCATTGATGATGTTACCTAATTTGGGTAATGAAATGACTGCAAGAAAATAACCAAGCTCAGAGAGCACCAAATTACCCCACCCTTTTTATGTTTTGTTTTAGATAGTTTTTTTTATTTCATATATATCAACCTAACTTTACATTGTTTACACAGGTCTACCAAGGAGAAATTACACCTCTTAAAGAGAACCTGAACAATGTTAATGGCTTAGCTCATCAGTTTACCTCATCTGAGATTCCACTTTCTCCATATATGCTCAACCAGCTAGAAGACCTGAATGGAAGATGGAAATTCCTGCAGGTACACCTTAAGAACAATCAATACTGTCAGGCTGTTGATTTGGATTTTTTTTATCTGTTCTGATTTTCCATCAAGCAAAGCAAGAAACAAATAGATCCTAATCAATTTCAATATAGTGATTACTCTAAAGACTTTAGTAACACTGATAAATTGGGCATCATTGAGAACATTATACAATATTCTAGTTGTGGGATGTCTGTGCATGCTTCTGTAGTTGTTTTTCTGAAGGCTTATATTATCTTTCAGTGTAATATAATTTCTCTGCAGCTTTACTCCTGCTAGCATATGAGATGAGAATTCTGTAAGAAGATAGAAAGTTGGAAGGAAGGAAACAGAAAATTGGTTCTATATGGAAACTAACTTGAGATTGAGATTGAGTAGAAAAACAGGCATTTTTCCCCATATTGCAAACTAAGGAAGTTCAGCAACTTAGAAAGGTGCTTAATGAATTTTTTAAAAGAAAAAGCTAATATTATCACACAGCAGTAATATTTTTTTTCTAATTTCTTGAAAGTAAAAAATAAGTGAAATACCACTCACACATCATTACAAAATCTCCAGAACCGTAAAGCCTACAAACTTGAAATTTGGCACCTAGGTCCTCTTGGCTTCTAGGTGCTCACTAAGAAAGGATTTTTCGAAATGACCATCAGAGCATTAGTATTTCGTATATTATTATTAATATGCTCTGATTCTAAGGAGTTCTACTCCTCTTCCCCACCTGAAAAGAACTCTCTTACACACTGACAGGACACTAGCCAGATGAATACCAATGGATGCTGGTAGGCAGAGGCAGATTTCCCTCCCCCCAATTTTCCTCCCCCAAAACTAAGCCCAACCACATAGTTTTGTGGAGCACAGGTATCGAGCTGGTACCTTATATTTTCGATCCGCTTCAAGTTCTTTTGAAGTTTTTTTCAGGTTTTTCTGTTGTAATTATTTGTGTCTGGGCTGTTTTTATTTAATTTAAGTTTATTTATTTATTTAATTTAAGTTTCTAGTTCCAATTAAATATTCTTTTGTTATAATTCTATTTTGATATAAGGAAAGATTATGAATTGAAGTTTATCTTTAAGTAGTTATTTGTCCTTATAATCCAGTAAATTAATCAGTGGGTCTTTCTGCTCTCCACCCTGGATTGATTTATGTGATATAAATTTTAATAATCACTATGACTGGTTTACTGATTTGTGTAGAGTAGATCATACACACTATTTTATCCCTTTTTAAAAATTGTCCTAATTTTTACTCTAAAAATTACTCTAACTGTATTTTTGTATACTCAAATGGTGCAATATATTTGTTTGTTTGTCAAACTTGTACAAGATAAGTATATGTATGAACATAAACAAGAACAAAGGAAGTAAATACAGATAAATGGGGACAGTAAGACAGGGACCTACTGGTGCACTTTAAGGACCTCTTAAGAATGAGGTGAGGTCCACAGTAAACAGTTTGAGGTTGAAGCTGTGAGGGGTTGAGGCTGTAATAATGGCTGTAAGGCATTCCAGGTGTTGACCACTCTGTTGCTGAAGTTATATTTTCTGCAATCAAGTTTGGAGTGGTTTACCTTGAGTTTGTATCAGTTGTTTGCTCGTGTATTATTGTGATTGAAGCTGAAGAAGTCATTGACAGGCAAGAAGTTATAGCAGACAATTTTGTGAACTATGCTTCGATCAGACCACAGGTGGCACAGTTCCAGATTGTCCAGGCCCAAAATTTCAAGCCTGGACAATCTGGAGGCATAAGTGGAGGAGTGGAATACTTTTCTCGAGAAATACCTCTGAACCCGCTCAATTATGTTAATGTTCGATATATAGTGTGGGTTCCAGATGGACAAGCTGTATTCGAGAATTGGTTTGGCAAAGGTTTTGTATGCCCTAGTTAACAATTCAATGTTGCCGGAGACGAAGCTTCGCGAAATAAGGTTAAACATTCTTAAAGCCTTTTTGGCAATGGTGTTACAGTGAGTTCTGGGGCTTAGATCATTTAAGGTAAGTACTCCTAGGTCCTTGGAAGAGTGAGGGTCATCTATAAGATCGTTTCCACCGAACTTGTATTTGGTGTTCTGATTTTTTTGCCAATGTGTAGGAAAGAGCATTTGTTGATTGAAATTTGAAGTTGCCAATTGCGCGACCATTCTGACACAGTCAAGGTTGCTTTGCAGGGCAGAAGCATTGTTGGTGGCATTAAATAATTTTACGTCATTGGTGAAAAGGACGCAGCTGCTCTAATTTTATCACATAGGTCATTGATGTAAAGCAGTAAGAGTGTGGGTCATAAGACTCTCTGAGTGGTTTATGGTGTATACGCTGATTTCTTGCTCATTCTAATAATAATAATTATATTTCATTATATAATAGTAGTTATATCTAGTGTCAGTCTCTTTGATAATGTAATATTCTAACATCTAAATGAAAAGGTTTTTGTTTTATTTTTGAAAAAAGTGTAGGGTTTGGTGCTGGGCAGCCTGCAGTTTTGAGCTCTTTTGACTTTCTCTGAGGTCAGTTCAATTAGTATTGATTCAATAGCTAAATCACAAGTAGTTATTAAGGTCTCTCCTCTAGTTAAATTTATCTCATGATATATGAAAGCAGCGGCTAATAACATTGTCAGAGATGTGTCAAGGCAGCTTGTATCACGCGTTGTTGGGGTTGGACAGGAGGGCACTGGTATCAGGAAGAGGCCATCTGTTGGACATCCTATGCCCCCTAAAAAGAGACGGGTTGTTAAAAAACCACACCATACAAAGAGGAAACTCATACACGGAAGGAAGCGCTGTGACAAGCAGAACATCTTCTAAGATAAAATGGCTTTTATCTACGAGGCTTCAGAGGAATGTGTCAAATCAGAGCTAGATCTTTTTCAATTGGCCCCTATGCAAACCAGCATTGAAAACTGTACGTACATCGAAATACCCCCTTTATCAGCACTTACCCCCAATGCTCCCTTGGAATTTTTTATAACGGGGAACGGCGAGCATTACACGGATTTAAACAATACCCTGCTGTATGTAACCTGCAAGGTCGTGAAGGCAGATGGCACGGATATCAATGATGGTGCAAGAGTGAGTCTTGTCAACTACCCCATAGTGTCATTGTTCAATCAGGTGGATGTTACATTAGGTGACTGGGTCATCATTGCTATGCATACAGAGGTCTTATTGAGCTTATTTTGAACTATGGCGGAGATGCCTTGGGAACCCAGTTTTCAGCTGGTGTTTTTTAGGATGACGCTGCTCTCATGGAGAATACCCTGCTGACAATCGCCAGTAACTCCAGATTCATAGTGAGAGCCAGACATACAGCAAGAAGCCGTAAATGGGATCTGTTAGGGCCATTGCATAGCAATCTCTTTTTTCAAGACAAACTATTAATTAATGGTGTGGATGTGAAAATCAAATTCTTGAGAAGTAAAAATGAGTTCTGCCTGATGAGAGACGGTAATGAGAATTACAAAATACAGCTCCTGTCCGCGTCTCTCTTTGTAAAATGTGTTAAAGTGTCTCTCGGGGTGCGGTTAGGGCATGTTTGTAATCAGGAAAATCTATTTCTAGGCCAGTTACCTAAGCAGCTAGTGGATAACGATGCATTTAGTGGCAATTATGAAAGAAATCCTTTCAATTTTCAACATTATAATGTTAACTTTTGTGCCCTGTATTGTGACGGTGAACAGATTCCTGCTAAACCCCTTCAGCCTGATTACGATCATAACCTTTTTGTGAGAGAATATATGCAGTTGATGCAAACGTCTGGCAAAATAATGAAAGATCATTCCGTGCTAATCAACCGTAATGATTTTAACGGCGGATATACTTTATATTGTTTTGATTTGAGTCCCAATCAAGGTTGCTCAGAGCACTATTCCATGATCAGGAATGGTAATCTCAGAGTGGAAATTAGATTTGCTGTACCCCTCCCCAATACCGTCAACATGATACTGTATGCGATCTTTGAAAATCTTATTGAAATAAGCCACACAAGGAAAGTATTGTTTGATTATATGTGAGAATGGATACCCTGCAAATACTCCGTATGCTGTCTGGAAATGCACTTTTTTTAGGCGTCTATCCCTGCAATTTGTTACCCAAGAGAAAAATCTCCAAGCGGCCTTTCGGATTGGTTGTAAACACCCATCCACATACTCTACCAGGTGAACATTGGTTGGCTCTCTATTTTCCAACTCATAACCATGGTGAATTTTTTGACTCCTATGGCAGAGCTCCAGATGACTCAGACTTCCCTGTTGGCATCATGAGGTTTTTAGAACTGCAAGCTAAGAAGTACACATATCAACCGCTTAAACTGCAGCACCCCCTGGCAATATCCTGTGGACAGCATTGCTTGTTTTATCTACTAAAACACCTTAAAGGTGTACCTTATGAGGATGTTTTAAAGCTATACTCTGAAAAAGATGTCAGAAATGATGAAATGGTGAAGCGATTTGTACTAAAAATGAAGCCTGGAAGAAGTCTCGGAACGTGCAACAGTTACCAATGTATGCAAACATGTATGGTGCACTATAAAATAAACACAAAATGTTAAGCGTCTTGTTTGTTTACAGCTTTTTATTCATTTACCATCAGAGCCATTCACCAATATTTAGAACACTTTTAGATTTTGACACAGGACTTACAACAGGGGTTAACATAGCAGAAGGTTGTTTGTTGGGACTTGTGCACTTAAAAGTACCATTTTCTTTCAGCATTTCTAGTTGCTCTTTAACAGAGTTAGAACCTAGTCATACGGTTGGAACGTTCATCTCGGCCATAGCAGACATAAATTCATTCCAGCCCTTAGGATAATATTTCACAGTACGTGATTGGTGTTGAGAAACCCCTTTGACGAGGTCTACAATGTTAGTTCCATGAATAGGGGTCCCCTTGTACAATACAGTGCTGTGGTCATCCCACTCCAAAATGTCTTGATGCTGTTTCATTTTGTTCAACAACTGTTCAGCATTTTTCCTGTATTGAGTGCTCATCCCCTCTAATATCTCTT